CCATGACACTCTCTATTACTTTGTTCCACTGAGACCAAATTACTTTTTAGTCCCAAGTAATATTCTTATTATGCTTACCTTTGTTCATGCCGAACTGCCTTGTCATTATTCAACATTCACTTTGCATAGCCTATTTTATATTAAGCTTCCACCTTGTAAAATAGAATGCCATGACATGTGTACACCAAGCCAGATATTTTATACACATGTAATTCATTTCTCTTCCTCCCCTTGCACTTCTAGGCTGTGAAGATTTCAAGCGCAGAGAGAGTGTGTTAGGAAACCCATGGCCATAACCCCTAGCAACTCTCTGTTATATAGAAGACATTTAGAAAATGTATGTTGGATAAAAAAAAAGCTTAAAGACCCAGTCATAAAATTTTGAAGCCATAAAATTCTACTTAAAGCACAGTCACAGGATTTGGCCCATGACCTCTTTTGGCAGCAAGTTTCACTTATTACCATAAACAGCTCATAGTACTTGTCATTATTTTTTCAAAATTCAAGTGTCCTTTAATCTCATCTGGTCAACTGAATTAAGAAATTTGCTTCTATTAATGGAATTCAGTTTTCAGTATATCTGAGGTGTTTCTAACAATATCATCCAGAGTTCTCTGAGGCTTGTTTTTGTTTTTTGAGACCGAGTTTCGCTCTTGTTCCCCAGGCTGGAGTGCAATGGCGCGATCTCGGCTCACCGCAACCTCCGCCTCCCGGGTTCAAGCAATTCTCCTGCCTCAGCCTCCCGAGTAGCTGGGACTACAGGCGAACGCCACCACGCCCAGCTAATTTTTGCATTTTTAGTAGAGACGGGGTTTCACCATGTTGACCAGGATGGTCTCAATCTCTTGACCTCGTGATCCACCCGCCTCGGCCTCCCAAAGTGCTGGGATTACAGGCGTGAGCCACCGCGCCCGGCCTGAAGCTTGCTTTTTAAAATAAATAATGCTCTATTTGACCATTTTTTTGTTTTTATATGTTAATAGATCATGTAGTATTTTTCTTAATCATTTTCACTATCTTTAATTCAACAGCAATGGAAAACAGTTATATAAAACTAGTGTGTCTCCGTATTTTTCACCTTTGGTGAATTTTGCCCCAAATTTACTGACATATATTGCATAAATATCTAATTTTTATTATTTGAACTGACCCTTCTCTACAAAAAAAATTACTCAGCAATGACTCAAAAACAGTAGCTCAATGATGCATTTGTATTTGTGAAATGGCAATACTAAGGAATTGAATTTAATGCTTTATTCAAATGTATCAAATGTATTCCAAATCCAAACACTTATTTCCACCAAACTTAACAACCACTATTGTCTCTCAATTCAGGGACAGCAATAGCCTTTGAACTGGCTACTGCTTTCAGACTTGCCCCTCTATTATCAACAGGATAGGTGAAGCAATCATTTAAAATTGTATTCAGATCATGCCAGTCCCCAACCAAAATCCTCTTGTATCCATTGCACTATTAAGTCTAAACTCTTTACAATGGTCTTTGAGGCCCATCATGACCTGTCGCTGCTTGGCTGTCTTACCCTTCCTCTCACCCCCACCACATCCATAGTGCTCTGGGTCACTACAACTACAGGTATACTGGGATGATTTTCTTTTTTGTTTGAACACGCAGTGTCCTGGGTCTTTACACATTATGTCTACTCTCCTTGTAATGCTAGATCTTGAACATAAGGTTGAGTCACTGTCTTCAGCTCAAACATGACCTCCTACATGACCTTTTATTGCTCCTTCTCTTCACTGGGCCTTTATAGTCCCATTCAGCTGCTGACATCTCTCACATTCAGTTCTTTCTCAGCTCTGTCTCTTCTAATGTCCTTGCTAATTCAGTCTGCCCTTGATCTTGGTGCTCAGATTCCTCAAAGTCTCCAATACTTTTCTCTTGCAATGCCTGGTTAAACCTGTGAGCCTCATAAACCCTTTGGGCTAAGCCATTTTGCTCTTAGAAGGCCCATTTATTCCCCTCAACTCAGTTTCCATGTTGCATGATAGCCAAGGGAAAGTGAGTCTGTCATGCCACAGGGCCTTCTTGACTATTACTTGGGAACCACATGTTGACTTAGGATTACTCAGCACAGTAATGTCCTGGAAAACTTGAGCACAAAAACCCTGAGCATCTCCTCAACTTAATTAAGAATTTCTAAAGCTGCACCCCCTAGAGGATTGACCTGGAAAAGCCAGAAAGGAAAAACAAAAGCTGTGGCAGCCACTTTTCTCTACCACTGTACTCTTTCTCTCCACCTCTTCTGGCATTCCTCAAAAGAATGCCTGAGGACATTTTTCCTACTTTAGTTTTTTAAGGGTCTTATTCTGTTATCAAGGTTGGAGCGCAGTGGCATAATCATCTGTAACCTCAAATGTCTAGGTTCAAGCAATCTTCCCACCTCAACTTCCTGAGTAGCTGGAACTACAGATGTGCACAAATGTGACTGCCTATTTTTTTTAATTTTTTTTTTTTGTAGAAATAGGGTCTCATTATGTTAGCCAAGCTGGTCTCAAACTCCTGGCTTTAAGAGGTCCTCCTGACTGGACCTCTCAAAGTACTTGATCACAGGCATTAGCTACAGTGCTTGGTCTGCTCCTTCTACATGATTTGAAACTCCTTTATATAAAATTCCATGCAAACCCAGGCATTTATGTTTGTTGACAAACATCAAGATGAAAAGTGAAAACACTTGGTGATTCATCTTAATGTTTCATCTTTAAGTTACTGAGCATCTGGGTCTTGGCAAAACATCCAAATAATAGACTAACCCATCAAGCCTGGTCTTGATATGGAACAAGAAACTGAAGGGCTTTCTAAAGAATGATGCTAAACTATGTTTTTAAAATACTGCTTTAAGTAACAGAAATGGAGTGTCTGTTTCTCACCTCCACCCCATGGCAGGCAGATGCCTTACCACTGTAGGAAGAAAGACATGTAGAAAAGCAAGAGAGAAAAATGTGCTATCATTTGACTGGCTTAGGCACAAATAAAGGGAATGGAGAAATGATTTTCTTCCTACACATAATAGAAAAAGGGAGGGAGATATAACAAAAACTAAGTTCAAATAAAGCATTATCATCAAAAATAATCACAAGAGTAGCTCAATTATGTAAGTGTAATTTATTCAGCATGCTGAGCCATTAAATTACAGCCATGATTTGAGAAATACACACAAACATAACACAGACACAGACACACACACACACACACACACACACACACACACACACACCTGAGTTACCAAATAGATAAAAGAACTCAAGACACTTCCTTGCCCTCATTATTTGCTCTCATTCTAGAAAGAACTCTAAAGGCTTGATTTTTCTGACTTTTCAGCCATGGTATTTTAGAAAGCATCAAATCAGAGGTTGGATGGTAAAAACAAAAACAAAAAAAAGGAGACACTGGTACAGTGAAAGCAAATGTTGAGAAAGAAAATAGTTATATGTATCTATAAAACAGATGCTTGAGAGCCAGTTTATATAGATGTCTATGCCTCTTCTCTAGTTTTTATTAAGTGATTATTTTGATTTTTTATGTGAAGAATTATAACCAATACACTGCATACTTTACATACAAAAATTGTGTTTGTGGTTTTACTTGTTTAACAATCCTAAGACAGCTATACACAGTTTCAACAAAGAAATTAATTTACTCTATAAAGCATTTTGTTGGTTTTTTTTAATCTGGAGCTCTAATAGCATTGAAAGTAGATAGTTAGGCAGAATCGTCTTACAAACAATATCCGGGAAGGCATGTGCAAGTGAAGATTGTAATAAGAAAGAGTAGATACTTTGAAGTTAGGTTTGGATTTGATCCACAGCTACAATACCTTCCAGCTTCTTAATATGTACCAGTTGTCTGAGTTATCAGAACTTTGTAAAATGAGAAAATTAAAACCTACCTTACAATAGTGCTTTGATAATTGCATGACAATCAAACACACTCACAAAAACACTAAGCAAATGTTATAAAATATAGACAAAGTTCATTTACAATTTGTTATATATTTGATAAAAGAAAAATTAGGTGATATTTGACTTTTTAAAGGCAAGACAGATCCATTCCTTCATATTTGTATTATCTCTAAATGTGTTTAAATCCATTATCAAAGTATAAGGGGGATAGGTATTAAATTCAGTGGAAAAGTAAATTATTTTTCCTTCAAGCATAATCCAAGGCTATGTAAAAATACCCACAAATAAATCAGACTGAATTTTGTTTTAAAGTCTACTTCTTTAGGAAAGAAAAAATAATGCAAGTGTTTGAGGGAGATAAAATCAGAACAAAATGTGTTTAGGTGTGCGTAAGAATGTGCACATTGGTGTATGTAATGAGTACAGGATACCTAGCAAGTATTTTTGGTTAGTGCTACGTGTAAGAAGTCCCTTGGATCTGTTCTACAGCAAAAATGCGTTTTTTGACAGTTTATATAGCATATTTGTGGGGGCATTAGCTTAAAGAGAAAACTGAATCTGCCCTTTATAATATTTTAAATTATTTCATAATTTAAAAATATGTGTTCTTGATTAGGGTAAGTGAATGCCGGTAGATCAGTTTCCCAGTTTGTAGTAAATCTAATCCTTATTGATGAAGGAGCACTTAATTCGATACAATTTGAAAGCACTTACTTCTGTTTATACCAGTCATGTATGATGGCTGACACACATTAGCATGAAAATGAAAGATGTTTAGATAAATCATCAAATTATTTGATCTTTATTTTGCTAAGCATTCAGATAGTTGTAAACATCCAGATCATTTAGCAACTTTTGTTTGTTTGTTTGTGCCATGAGCACAATTTATTCTGTAAGTGGAAAACTTTAAATATATTTAATTACCAAGCTATCTTATACTCACTTTCTTAGAGTTTCAACTATAACCTATAGCATTCATTCTTTTTAATGATATTTCCATTATTATATGTTGTAACGATTTAAGCTATTCAATAACTTTTTTTTTCTTTCTTTCTTTCTTTTTTTTTTTTTTTTTTGAGACTGAGTCTTGTTCTGTCACCAAGGCTGGAGTACAGTGGTGTGATCTTGGCTTACTGCAACCTCCATCTTCCAGGTTCAAGTAAGTCTCCTGCCTCAGCCTCCCCAGTAGCTGGGATTACAGGTGCCTGCCACTATGTCCAGCTAATATTTGTATTTTTAGTAGAGACGGGGTTTCACCATGTTGTCTAGTCTGGTCTTGAACTCCTGACTTCAAGTGATCCACCTGCCTTGGCATCCCAAAGTGCTAGAATCCCAGGTGTGAGCCACTGTACCTGGCCTTCAATAACATTTTTTTAAAGTTCATTAGAAATGACAAATTGATATCAGCAAAGAACACAATAATACAAAAAGATTTATGTTTTTATCATGCATTATTTCTTTTTGATTTCTCTTGGTTTTCTAGCTACATATATAGTACACACAGTGCATTTAATTAACATACTTCTTTATTTCTGTTTCTCATCAGGTTTAGAATGTAATAATTCAAGGATTTGATAATACAGTGAAGTAGTTTAACAACTGTCTATGTGCTTCCCATGATATGTTCTCTATATTGTAAGTATATATTTACTTTCTCAATCTAGCTTGATTGTGGGAGAAATACGCTCAATTAGAACTTATATATGATTTATACTGTTTCAGAAAATTTTGAACTAAAACTCATCCAAGGTACAGAATAGTTTCAGGAGGTTAGCTTCTATGAGGAAATCTTCTATAAACTTAGTTTTAACGTTCTATCAAGGTTAAAGTTTAAAATAATTTTCTGTCACGGTAGATTAATATATTCAGCATGTTTAGTCATATTTTAAAATAAATCTTATAGTTAATCTTAAATTTTCTATACTCTTGTTTTCTAGAAAAAAATAAATGTTAGACATGGAAAATTTTATGTTCTCAACATGTCTTTTTAAAAATTCAATTTGCAATCTAATTTTAAATTTAGTTCGATTTTTTTTATATTAGCTATCTTCTGAAAATGGGCTTTAATTTTGGGTAGATAATGCCTATACCACTAAATCATTCTTATATAAGAATATAAGAATATATTGAGTATATATTACATATATATGTAATTTATTTAATAAGTTAAATTTAAGAAAGAATAAAAGTAGTCTTGCACAGATGTGAACCTCTTACTGTTCATTTCACATTACTGAAAAATAAGACAGGAGGTAAAATCCTGGGAAAATGTGCTTCGTTTTTGAGTTAAGAAATATTGCAAAGCATTAGTGCTACTCATGTCAATGAGAAAGAAAGAATATAGCGCAATCCCTTTTCCTTGGATGAAAGCAAGCTATGAACTGAAACCCATAAGGAATCAGTAGTGTCCCTACAATTTACAGCATGTTAGCGCATCAGGAGATGCTGTTTCTTAACACTTAATACTGTCAGACCTAGAATCCCATTTCAATCTCTTGTTTTGCTGAACTCCTGTCTGAGGATATAAAGCTTTCAGAGAATTGGAGGAGGTGGTGGATAGGTTATTGACACTCCTATTTCAGAACTCTGAGTGCATTATGACACAAAATATGATATAATAAATATTATCATATTCTATAGCGGTGCTATCTAAAAAAATATAATGTGAACTGCATATGTTATTTACATTTTTCTTTTGGCCACATTTTTAAAAAGTAAAAAGGAGCAGGTGAAATAAATCTTAATGATGTATTTTATTTATTTTGCCCTAACATTCCAAATATAGCTATTTTAACATATGATTAATGTAAAAAATTGAATAAGAAAATTTTCTTTTTTTCACACTAATTCTTTGAAATCTATTGTGTACTTATAACACATCTCAATTCAGATACCAAAGTTTTGTTGAATATACTTGATCTATATTTAGACTTCATAAAATTTACAGTTGAAAAAGTGGATTCACAAACCCAAATTTTCCTACAAATATTTAAAAGTTTTCCAATAACTAAGTCAAGTGTCAGCTTTTTAATTTAAATTAATTATCCTCTTCTCAATGGAACTAGCATTATTTCAAGTGCTCAGTTGTCTCATGTGGCTAGTAGCTGCCATACTGAAAACTCTGCTCCAGGGAACTGCTGAAACAATGCATCAGTTCTGCTACCTAATGAATTTTGAAGGCCAACCTCAGACCACATCAAAGGAGCATATGACTTTAAAAGTTCAATGAGAAAAAAATCAAATCCTAAACTTCTTACTTAAAATGGAGTTTTATATTACCCTATGTGTACAATAAATTGTAGAGAAGAAAATATATCAGATGCATACTTCTAAGCCATAATACATGCTGGAATTTGGGGGCTTTTTGTTTGCTTTCATGTACTTGCTTTGTTGTAACTAAAGTAATTTGCTCATCTCAGCCCTCCTCATTACAATGAGTAAATCAGCAGAAAAAAAGTCTAACATTTTTAAAAACTTATTTTGTCACAACATTCTTAAAAGGATGAAAATATGGGCACTAAATTTGTAAATCATATATATGATAAAAAATTTGTTTTCATAATATATAAAATAACTCTTAAAATTTAATAAAAAAGTAAACCCAGTTTTCCTGGTAAAATATCTGAGCTTTACAAAAGAAGATGTGTGGATGACTAATAAGAATATGAGGAGATGTTCACTAGGGAGATACAAATGAAAACCACAATAAGCTACCAGAACATATGGGTTAAAATGGAAAAACCAATTAAAAATCTAACAATAGCAAATATTGCTAAGCATGCCAAGCCACAGGGACACTCATTCATTACTTTCATTACTGTTGGCAATTCAAAATGGTACAGCCACTTTGAAAAAGTGTGTGCAAGTTTCCTATGAAGTTAAATGCTTACTTCATATATGATCCAGTGATCCCATTTCTAGGTATTTACCCAAGTGAATTGAGAAACATTTTTTGACACAAAAAAGCAATATGGAAATATTTACAGAAACTTTGTCTTCAATTGCCAAAATATGGAAATAACCAATATGTTGTCTTCAGCTGGTAAATGAATGAACAGTCTGTGGTAGATCTATAAAAGGGAATATGATTCAAATAATTTTTAAAAAGAATTATTGATTCATGCACATCATAGAAAAATGTTTTAGTGCATCTTGCTAAGTGAAAGAAGGCAGGCCCAAATGACTACGTATTTAAGATATATAATTTAACATATCTTAAATTCTGGAAAAGACAGCAATGGAAAACAGATTAATGGTTGCCCAAGTTAGAGATATAGGAGGGTGGACTACAAAATCATTGATTACCTGAGGAAATTTTAATGCTGACAGAACTGTCCATGGTGCTAGACAAATTACTGTGCTCATCAAAACCAATAGAACTGTACACACAATGAATAAACTCTGCAGCAAGCAAATAAAAAAAAATAAGAAAACAAATAGGATGCATTATCCCAAAATGGGGTGGAAACTGACAAGTGAATCAGGCCACATTAGGAATGTAATATATAAGCTTACTGAAGGTGATGTGGTCAAAAGATCTAGCTTATATTTTGGAAAACAGTATTTTGAATGGACTAAACCTGCAAAGAATGAGGCTAACTGTAAAAATAACTATACATGGACATTGTACTTTAGTTGATATTTTTTCACAGAAGTGCAGATTAGCAAATATGACATTGCTTTGCATGTATATTAGACTAGAAGTGCATAAGTAAATAAATTATTGATATTGGGAGGTAGGTTTTATATTGCTAGAGAAAGAAATTATAATCAGCAAGGAAAGATAGCTAAAATTAATCCTGTATTGCTAGATTAGAGATGTAGATATTAATTTGTAAACTCATTTTTATTTTAAAATACATAGATACAGAAATGGGTCTATATACCTAACATTTATTAGCTCTATCTACTGAAAAGTTCTAGAAGCAGTGACACCACATTAGCAATGAACATGCCTCAAGCCCAAATTTTAGTTTCATGCTCAGAATTTAGAGGTTTCTGTATATATATCATGTTTCAATTGTAGAGTGAAAATGGAAAGTAGAGAATTAAAATAATGTTCTTTATTTATGCAAAAGAAAAGTCTTTAGAGTTTAAGTGACTTGCCTAGAATAGCAGCTTGAAAAGAATTGAGCATCTACACCCAACACATCTTACTTCATTCTGAATCCTAATTTTGTACCACATCAAGAAGTCTATACAATATGGAAATAATCTCATTTGTTAAATTCCTTGTTCTTAATGTCCAGAAATAATCAAGCACTTTTCTTTAATTTAAATGAAATTCTAGCATTTTTTATACGATTATGTTATTCACATTTATAGTCAAAATTCTTACCTGAAATGTCAGTTTCCTGTTGAGCTTCAAAGTCCCATCTAGAGACCGTGGGCAGTGACTCACTGCTGTAATCCCAGCATATTGGGAGGGTAAGGCAGGCAGATCACTTGAGGTCAGGAGTTCAAGACCAGCCTGGTTAACACAATGAAACCCCATCTCTGGTAAAAATGCAAAAATCAGCTGGTGTGGTGATGCATGCTTGCAGTACCAGCTACTCGGGAGGCTGAGGCAGGAGAATGTCTTGAAACTGAAAAATGGAAGTTGAAGTGAGCAGGGATGGATCCACTGCACTCCAGCCTGGTGACAGAGTGAGACTGTCTCAAAAAAAAAATTTCGACTAGATTGGGAAATAAGTCGTTACTGCTCATTTATTTCTGCTATATTGGACAAACATATACTTTCACTTTAAGGAACAAAATACAGCCATGCATGCATGACATTGCAGACAATAATTGACCACATATACTACAGTGGTCCCATAAGATTATAACAGAGCTGAAAAGTTCTTACGTCCTAGTAACATTATAGCCATCAGAACTTAGTAGCACATAACTCACATGTTTGTGATGATGCTGGTGTAAACAAACCCTATTGCACTTCCAGTTGTATAAAGGCATAGTGCATACTGTAAAATTACTTAAGGTACATAACAGTGATAATAAATGATTATGTTATTGTTTATGTGTTTACCATATTTGTATTATTTAGAGCTTACTTCTATTCATTTTTTAAAAATTTAATTATTAAACAGCTCAGGCCGATCTTTCAGGAGGTATTCCAGAAGAAGGGATTATTATCATAGGTGATGACAGTTCCGTGCATGTTAATGCCCCTGAAGACCTTCCAGCAAGACAAGATATAGAGGTGGAAAACAGTTATACTGATGATCTTCACCCTGTGTAGACCTAGGCTAATGTGTGGGTTTGTATCTTAGTTTTTACAAATTTCAAAGGTAGAATTAAAAAAAATATTTAAAAATAGAAAAAAAGCTTATAGAAAAGGATTAAAAAAGAAATTATTTTGTACAGCTATACAATGTGTTTGTGTTTTAAGCTGTGTTATCACAAAAAATCTAAAAAGTTAAAAATATTTTTGAAGTCTGTAAAGTAAAAAAAGTTACAGTGAGTTAAGGTTACATTCTTGTAGACAGAATAATCTTTTTATGGGTTCAATATAGCATTTGTACAGTGTTTATAAAGTCTACAGTAGTGTATAGTAATGCCCTAGGCTTTCACATTCACTCACCACTCACTACTAAGTCACCCAGAACAACTTCAGTCCTGCAAGCTCCATTCAT